CGCATTCACAATCCAGTCGCACAGGCTATTGGACCAGATAGTCCTGTTTACCTGGGCATTTCGTTATGCGCCCCAAAATGCAGAACAACTACTTCGTCTGCACGCTCGGCCAAGCGGCAGCCCTGAACACCAATCCGAAGTCATACCGAAACATTAGCGAGTTCCTCAGTCAGCAATCCCAGCATCATCCATTACTCCCAGCTGTTGGCTTTCCTATACCACGACCCGACCAGCGAGAATGGGACTACCGCGTCCTCTCGTTTGCAGACGTTGACCAGGGCACCAACGTCTTCGCCTCGCGCCTCACAACTTGCCTTGGCACATCTCGCAAGCTAGCGACTGTAGCCTTGTTGTGCCACAGCTCTCCGGAATTCCTCTTCACTTGGCTGGGTCTGATCAGACTAGGGTACTCCGTCCTTCTGATAGCACCACAATGCCAGCCAGCAGCCATCCTGCATCTCTGCACAGCGTGCGAGGTTACTGACTTCTTCTACGATGTTGCCCATACTGAACGGGCCCAGCAGACCGAGACGCTGGCAAAGGAACAAGGTACGCTGGGGCTACAAGTGACGCTGTTACCACTGAGCGGTGCAGAAGACGTTCTCGATGTGATCCAGACCCCACCAGAGAGTAGCGTCGAACCTCTTCACGTAGATGAAGGATCCATTGCGTACTTACACCACACGTCTGGAACCTCGTCAGGCCTGCCAAAACCGATCCCGCAATCCCATCGTGCGGCTATTGGCGTGCTTCCGCATCTCCCCAAGATCCCTGCCCTAGCATCCTTCACTACAACGCCCCTTTATCATGGCGGCATCGCGGATCTCTTCCGGTGCTGGACGAGCAATGCTATGATCTGGCTCTTCCCGGGCAAAGATGTACCAATCACAGCACGGAACATCTGCGAATGCCTGGATGTGGCCAAGACGTACGCGGCGACGGAAGGTTTACCCAAAGTCAAATACTTCTCATCCGTACCCTATGTACTTCAAATGATGGAGGCCGACGAGAAGGGTCTGCAGCTGCTCCAAGACATGGATATTGTGGGCGTTGGAGGCGCTGCATTGCCAGCAGAAGTGGGCGACCGATTAGTAAAGAGCCGTGTTAATCTCATCTCCCGATTTGGGAGTGCAGAGTGTGGCTTCATTCTGTCTTCATATCGCGATTTTGCCGCCGACGACGATTGGCAATATCTGCGGAACTACAACCCACCGAAATTGGTAGAGTTCGAGAAGCGCGAAGGGGACCTAGCCGAGCTTATTATCAAGCCCGGATGGCCACATATGGTACCTTGCAGGATCTTATACGACAAGACGACCGGCTGACTTGGAACAGGCCAAACAAAACCGACCGGACGGATCTTTTGCAACTGCCGACTTGTTTGCAGCACATCCGACCATTAAGGACGCATGGTTGTACCATTCGCGAGCAGATTCGCAACTCACACTGATAACCGGAAAGAAATTCGATCCGGCGCCCCTGGAAGACGCTATCGCGACTTCTCCTTATCTCGACGATGTGCTGATATTTGGCAATAACAGACCCTTCCCAGGTGCTCTTCTCCTGCGATCAAAACAGTCAAGTAACATGTCAGACCAAGAGCTCCTAGGCGCCATTAGAATACAAGTCGAGAAGCTGAACAGCGAAAGCCAGGACCATGCAAGGATATCGTTTGACATGCTCGTTCCGCTACCTCACCAAGATCAGCCACTCGAGAAGAGCAGTAAAGGAACCATTATCCGGAGAGCGGCAGAGTCCCGGTTTGAAGACGCTATTAACAGCGCCTATGGCTCACAAGATTCCGACTCGTCACTTGAAGTAAGCGACGACGACGTGCCCCAGCATCTAATCGGCCTCATTCAGAGTATGACGGGTCAGACGGCGGAACTGAACAAAGACATAGATCTCTTTTCCTACGGTGTCGACTCAATCGCATGCATGCAGTTGAGGACACGTTTGAGACGCTTGATTCCCAATTTTGAAGGTCAGCTCCCGATGAGCGTCGTTGAGGACTGCGGTACCGTGCGACGATTGACAGACTATGTCTTACGGAAGAGGCATGGACAGAGCGACTCCGGTGGTGAGGACGAAGAGAAGCTGATGTTAGACCTGGTGAAGCAGTATGGCTCGTTCACGGCTTCAACACTGCGTACCGCTACCAATGGCTCCGTTGCGAAGAGGGGAGTTGACGAAGTGGTGGTACTAACGGGAGCGACCGGCGCGTTGGGAGCACACGTTCTAGACCTGTTGCAGAAAAGATCGGATGTTGAGGCTGTTTACTGTCTTGTCAGAGGAGCAGATGAGCATGCAGCAAGAGAACGTGTCAGTAAAGCATTGGAGCAGCGTGGACTGGTTAGCTTGTTGACCACAGGAGCCGCGAACGGTAAAATCAAAGTCATACCGTCTCAGCTGAGCGAAGAACGCCTGGGACTGGGTGAAGACGTATACGAGTACCTCGCCGAGAACGCGACTTCGATCATCCACGTCGCCTGGACTGTCAACTTCCGCCTGAAGTTGCGCAGTTTTGAGAAAGATAACATCGCTGGTGTGCGAAACCTGCTCGATCTTGCCCTCAAATCACAGCGATCACAACCTCCGCGTTTCACGTACTGTTCTTCTACTGCAGCCATCATGAACGGCACCCTCGACGCGTCTGGTCAGCTACCCGAGGTGGTGTCATCTGAGCCCTCATCAGCATCTCCATTGGGTTATTCGCGTTCGAAGTGGGTCGCAGAGCACATCTGCCTTGAAGCGCATAATCGGACGAATCTTCGCGGATGTATAGCAGTAGTCCGTGTTGGACAACTCGCTGGGGATTCCACATCAGGGGTATGGAACACAAAGGAGGCATGGCCCATGATGTTGAGTACCGCGAGACTCATCAAGTGTTTACCTGATCTCGGTGATGAGCCTCTAGATTGGCTGCCAGTCGACGTTGCGGCGAAAGCGTTCCTTGAAGCTGCCGGTCCTCGCAAGGAACATGGGGAAATGCCAGTGTTCCATGTATTGAACCCGCACCACGAACCAAGCTGGTCTCAGATGTTGCAGTGGCTTCAGAAGGAAGATCAGTTTGAAATAGTTTCGCCCAAAGAATGGGTAAAGCGTCTAGAACAGGCTGGTGACTCGGATCATTCCGCGCTGAAGCTGTTAGGGCTTTGGAAGGAATCCTACGGCCGCGAACTGACAGAGAAGACCGCGCGACCACAGTTCTCAACGACAAAGACGAGCGAGTCTGTACAGGCGCTGCGGAATGTCGAGCCGCTGGACAAGGAGTACGTCGAGAGAATATGGAACTGGATCCAGGAAAATGTCAAGTAGAATCGTCCACGGGCGAAATCAGGAACGCTGGGCCTGAAAGGATTCACATTACCTGCCGTCGCCGCGGAGTAAGCTTAGAACACCATCAGGCATCCAACATAGACCAGGCTAGAGAATTACATGGCGACTTCAACACGTCAATCGGTCCGTTCTCTGCTTCCCCGTGCGATATTACTCGAACGTTACGCCTGCAGCATGACATGTGTGGTGTGACGTGCCTGCCAAACGATCAAGTGCTTAGCCGCGTTCAAAGTGCATGCAGATGTCGTGTATAGTAACACACGACTGAACATGAAGGCCGATAGCAAGATACTATGACCGTGTGGGATATGGTAAGCCAACATCATACGTAGCTAATAGGAACCCTCAAGAGGATACACTCGCGAGACCTAGGTGCGCTTTGTGTGCAAAAACAAACAACGTAGTAGCAATAGCCTAAATCGTCCTACCGCTCTACCAAGCCAGCCACCATGACACAAATCTACAACCTGCAGTGAGGATGCGTCATCTCCTCCCGTCGCATTCTCGTAAATGACAAGGGAGCGCCAACTCTTCCACCCCGAACCCCCGATCTGTCGCCAAGCTTTTCTCGAATGCGAGTCACACGAGCTTGGCGGTGAACGGGACGGGTTAGCACTTTTTGGACTAGATCCACCACGGTGAAATTTAACCGGTAGGGGTGGGCGGAATTCTAGGCAGCTGCATCCTGTTGCAAGTGTGGTAATGAGGGTTGCGGACGAAAGCTGAGAGCGGTCACCGCTGTGCAGATACCTAGGTAGAGCGCGCTTGCAGTCGATGTGGGATGGGGCTGAGATGAGGTGCGTGAGCGCGTACAAAGGGAATGATACACTGCGCCATAATCGCAACACATGTGAGAAATATGCTCGTTCATGTCAGAACATCATCGCATGAACTGCATCGAAAATAAGTCGGCGCACGCGGACTCCGGCATCCAAATAAAAGCTTGATGCAAACGGACACTAGCTAAGCCGCAAGATCGCTGCAACGGCGCGAAGCTTCGTGACCATGTTTCTAGACTCGAATCCAGGTCTTCGGTTCCCGATGGCCCTTGCGATGCAGTGAAAGGTGCAAATCGCAAAGTCATCGAGTCACCGGTGTGAAGGAATGGGCGTCTGGGGGCGCGATGTTGGGGTTTCAGGCGGCCAGTGAGAAGGCGGATGACTCCGTGAGGGTGTTTGACGCGGACGAAATGTGGTGGCATGCTGCGATGGAAGCAGAGAGTCATCTCCGTGCACAGATGCCAGATACGATGTATGCGAGGGAGAATGGACCCCCGAGACCCACTGGTACCAAGCTTTGTCCGGCAGCTAATTCTAGCGCCTTCGCAGCACGGAACGGGGACGAAAGATTGTCTGCCTCCCATTTGGCAAGGAAAATGTCGGTTCCCTTGAATCCTTCAGCCCTAACTCCGCTCTCGTTACTTACCTCCTTTCTGGGGCCTGCAGAGTCAGGTAGTATATAGAGGCTGTGCTTTCCGCCCCCGTGGTGGTTCTTGCCTGCCTATCTACCAACGAGTCTTCCGCTGCTTGTGTTTACTTACTCCTCGCACATCGACGAGCTAGACGATAGTTGTTTGCTTCCTTGGCGACTGCCGGACTTGCATTACGACCACTCTCTTCTGCCATCGCATATACACGACACGCTCACTCTGTGGCTTGCCTATGAGCGCAAACCAGCTCCGCCCGTCCAGCATGACGGATTCTGAGAAAACCGCTGCGCCCAGCGTCCAAGCTACCATTACCGACGAGAAGAAGGGTGCTGTCGAAACCGTTGCTCCTGCTGCTGGTGTAGCTGTGGATGCTGCCCAGCCCATCGTTGAAGAGAAGACTTCGCGACCCAACTCAACAGCCGAACCAACATCAGACGACGACGACGACTTTGAGTACCCCACAAGATGGAGGCTCACTGCGATTACCGTGGCACTTTGTCTAAGTGTCTTCTGCATGGCGTTGGTAAGTTGCTTACTTCTGTAATCCCCGGTTCCACGGCTTTGGTACGCCATTGATCGACAGCGGCTACACCTGTCAAACCAACCCAAGAGATCTGCACGTGAGTACGCGCTAACGCCTCTGTTTAGGATAACACAATCATCGCAACAGCTATTCCTCGCATTACAGATCAGTTCAAAGCGCTCAACGATGTAGGCTGGTATGGATCGTCGTATCTACTGACTACATGCGCGACGCAACTCATCTACGGAAAGTTCTACACCTACTACTCCATCAAATGGGTATACCTCATCGCGCTCTTCATCTTCGAACTCGGCTCGCTTATCTGCGGTGTCGCGCCAAACTCGACTGCCCTCATCATCGGACGCGCTGTCGCTGGTGTCGGAGCAGCTGGTATCTTCTCCGGAGCCATCTTGATCATCTCGGTCACCGTACCGCTGCGCAGTCGCCCTACTTACATGGGACTCATTGGAGGCATGTATGGTATTGCGTCTGTTGCTGGCCCACTGTAAGTTGTGGAGAAGACGTTTGGATCTAAGATCGACATGGACTAATGTTTGCTTTAGCATGGGCGGAGCCTTCACAGACCATTTGACTTGGCGATGGTGCTTCTACATCAACCTTCCCTTTGGTGCCGTTACCGCTGCCTTCATCATCCCCTTTCTCAACGTCAAGCGTCGTGGCAAGAAGATCACGGCTACATGGCAACAGCAGCTTCAGAAGTTCGATCTTCCCGGGACCGCGTGTTTCTTGCCGGCTATCATCTGCTTGTTGCTTGCGCTTCAGTGGGGTGGTAGCAAGTACGAGTGGAACAGCGGACGTATCATCGCGCTCTTCGTCATCTTCTTTGTCCTCATCTGTGGATTCATCACTATTCAGTGGTGGAAGCAGGAGGATGCTACCGTCCCTCCTCGTGTGTTCCTCAACCGCAATGTCTGGGGCAGCGCGTGGTTTGGTGCCATGTTGGGCGCGTCCTTCTTCCTCATCGTTTACTACCTTCCCATCTGGTTCCAGGCGATCAAGGGCGCGTCTGCAACCAAATCCGGTATCATGAACCTCCCCGCCATTCTGGGACTTGTCATCATCTCGATGCTTGCCGGTGGTGCCGTCACAGCTCTGGGCTACTACACTCCATTCATGCTCACCTCGTCCATCCTGATGGCAATTGGTGCCGGACTTTTGTCAACGCTGGAAGTCAACAGCGGCTCGCCGCAGTGGATCGGCTACCAGTTCATCTTCGGTGCTGGTGTCGGTTTCGGTATGCAGCAGACCCTTGTAGCTGTTCAAACAGTCTTGCCGGCCGACGACATCCCCATTGGTACCGCGATCATGATGTTCACCCAGACGCTCGGCGGTGCTCTCTTCATCTCGGTCGGCCAGAACGTCTTCACCAACCAGCTCATCAAGAACCTCGCCAGCATCGTGCCCGATCTCGATGCGAGCATCGTCCTCCGTACTGGCGCAACCGAGCTCAAGAACGCCATCGACCCCGAGTACCTCGGCGGCGTACTGACGGCCTACAATCTGACTCTTACCCAGACATTCTACGTGTCGGTTGCTTGCGGTGCCATGTCGATTGTCGGCGCGGTGTTCGTAGAGTGGAAGTCGATGAAGGGCAAGCAGATCACCATGGCTGCTGCTTGAACTAGTCCCAAGACCGGGGACTCTATTTCGACCTGTTGTGATGTCTTCTTGGGCGTCTAGATGCCTGTTTTGTATGATACCCTTTTCCAGCGGCATGTTAGCACCAGCATCTTGCAGCGAGCGCGGCGTTTGTCTTTTGGCATATACATTGTAATAGACGAGTGATGAATGGGAGAAGTGATAGACACGGCACTTTGCTTTTTGGCCTGATGTGCTGGCAGAGGCATGACGACTCTTCGCTCTTAGAAACCTGTAATTGAATAGATCAACATAATTGTATTAAACTCTTGGCCCGGTCGTTTCACAGCCACCAGCCACACCTCGAGGGCTTGTCGAGCCGGTCCCACCCGCCGTGACGTCAGCCCGTTTGTCGTGGTTTGACTCTTTTGGGACGTCACATGCAAGTCCCTTTCCCACTCAGGACGGCCGAGAAGAAAGTGTGTGGAGCCGGCAGCTGACATGGGCGAATCAACGCAAAGGGCGGCTGGAGAGTCGGTGCTGGATTGGTCGCGCGGGCGGTTGGTGTTCAACGTCGTCAGGCTTTAGGCTGATGCTTAGCAAGGCTTGTTTTTTGCAGGGTCAAGCCTCCCACTGGCGATCAACACTCATCCTGCGCTGCGCCCGCCTTCGATTGCGCGTTCGGCGCTTCTTTTCCCAGCCTTGCATATTCTGCTGACGCCCGCCCACGCCATGCGCCTGCAGACTGCGCTGCTCCTGCGACGATATACATTTGACATCCACTGCTAGCTGGCCTCTGCCGCGCGCCACAGTTCCGTTGCGCCGAGACGCGACAACAGCCGGCAGAGCCCGCACGACTCGACGTCTTACAGACAGAGCCACCGTCGCGCATCGCGGCCATGGCAGAGGAGAAGGAACCGAGGCCTGAAGCCGCGCAGAACGGGCATGCGCCGGTCGTGCCGGAGAAGGAGGGCGGGATGGACGGCGCTGATAGCGAGCCCCCAAAGCCGCAGAAGACGGATACGTCCGGCAGCAAGAAGAAGGGCCCGGAAGGAGGCTTCGACGACACGCCCATACCGCGCGCGCCGCCCGGCTATACCGTCAAGTTCACCCTCCACCGCGCCAACAACCTCCCGCTCGCCGACATCAACACGCTCAGCGCCGATCCCTTCATCATGGCGCAACTGTACACCGGCCTGCCCACGCGACACAAGGAAGACCCGCCCTTGACGCTGCGAACGCCGACGATCCGCCAGAGCACCGATCCCGTGTGGGACTGCGAGTGGGTGGTCGCCAATGTGCCCTCGTCCGGCTTCAACCTCAAGTGCCGCATATACGACGAAGACCCGGCAGACCACGACGACCGCCTCGGCAACGTGCACGTTACCGTTCCCTCCATAAACGAGAACTGGGGAGGCATACACGACCAGACATACCCGATCAAGAAGCGCATGGTGAGCAAGCGGGCCTATGCGCTGCGTGCCATGGCTGTGTGTTTCGGCAAGGCGCATCACATGAACGGCACGCTGAACGTGAGCGTGCAAGTGCTAGGCAGGACCGAGGATGAAAATGGGGGGCGCGCGTATACGATTGGACCGCAGTTCTGGATACGGCACTACTCGCCGCTCTTGGGACGCTTGCTCGGCCAGAAAGAGCCCAACAACGATGGCCGGGTGTCGCGCAGGAACGGCAAGCAGAAGCCTGAGAAGTACAACTTCCAGTCGAATCAGATGCAGATGCGCGGTCCGGTTCCCGAAGCCATGTACCATCGCTACGTCGAGTTCAAGCCTTTCGTTAAGAGCATGTTCACCGCTAAGGGCGTGCGAGGATTCGTCTTATCCAAGGCACTGCACCACCAGCACGCGCGCGTATACAACTTCGATCACGCCACAGAGTTCAAGGTTCTGCCTGCGCCTTGCAAGGAGTTCACGCAAAAGTTCCTCGAACTAGTCCACTACGATCAGGGTGGGAGAATCTTCACCTACGTCTTGACCCTCGATGCGCTCTTCCGATTTACAGAGACTGGTAAAGAATTCGGCATCGACATGCTGAGCAAGCATACCATGCACAGCGATGTGGCAGCTTACGTAGCATTTTCCGGTGAGTTCTTCATCAGAAGACTAAAGCACAAGGACCGCAAGCCTCCGGATGAAGGCGGGAACAACACATCCCACCCGCCAGGCGACATCGACGGCGGACCCCCCAAGGAAAGCCCAAACAAAGACCCAGCCTACTACGAACTCGTCATCGACAACGACTCTGGCACATACCGCCCCAATGCCAAACTCCTCCCTCAGCTCAAAGAATTCATGTCTCAGAACCTGCCTGGCCTACACATCCGCACCCTCGACTGCCAAGGCGACGCCGAGAAGATGGAAGCCATGAAGTCCGAACAGCGCGAGCGCAAGAAGAGGGAGGGCCAAGCTGTGGTCTACACTCAGATCAGCAGAAGCAGCAGTATGAGTAGTAGCGACGAAGAGGAACTGGATCGTCTAGAGAGTGAAGGTCAAATGGCGCCCAAGCATCTCAGACACCAGGTTCAACGGGAGGCCGAGGCGAGAGTCGATGCATTGAAATTCCATGCCAAGGAATACCGCCCGAGTAATAACCACGAGGGATGGAGGGGCGATGGCCATCCCGCTAGAGCCGATGACGGGAAAGTGGACAAGATGAGGCAGGAGAACGGAGATGAACCGGTGGCATCGCACGAGAGCACACAATCTGGTGCTAAGAGCTAACCTGCATACTCGACTAACGTCTATTCCTTTTTGTCCATCTGTCATCATCACGCCTTGTACATGGTTTCCTTGATACGTTTCCCAGCATATCATCTTCTTGCACTCGAGCTTCTGCTACTTTAGTGTTTTCTTTTTTCGTTGTGCTTTCTTGAATTGCATCTTGTTCGAGTTAAAAACGCTTGCAGCTGAAGAGAGCCAGAGAGAGAGAGGGAGGAAACATTACATACACGGACACTCTCTCTACCCCGAGATACCCGCCATCCTATATTCCTGTAGTAGAAGAGCTTAATTTCCTGATATTATCAAATTACTTGTTATCATTGTAACGAATGCTTTTCTGCCTTTGTTGAACACTACGCATGAGCCCTGCCAGCCGTGAAGACTCTACATTGGTTCACCCCAACCACGCGTTCTTCACACCCACTCTGGCACCTCAACCTCCGGCTTACTAACTCCAAACCTCACTGCCTTGGCATAATACTCCAACAGCGCCTCCCCTTCTTGTCTCCCCCTCTCAAACTCCTTCCTCAACCTCTCCCTCCCCTCGCCAAATAACCACACCTGCTCCCCGCCAGCACCCATCCGTTTTCTCATTCCGCGACTGTAATCGAGCGCGTGTCGGACTTCTCGGCGGTCTGTGGCCTTGGCTTTGAGTGCGATGTAGGCGGTTAGGTTGAGGAGGACGGCCAGGTCGAGAGGCGTTGTCAGGGTTGTTGGAGTGGTGGATGCTGAGGCGGAGGAGGTAGTAGAGGTCGATGTCGAGGTGGAGCTTGATGCGGTAGACGAGGGATATTGGGGCAGATCATGGCCGGTTTCGCTTCTTAGGGCAAGGAAGACGCCGGTTGTCAAGGCGGCGTGGATGTAGGTTAGTGGGAACTTGTTTGTGGCTGTGTGCAGTTCGAGGCTGCTTTCTAGGGCACTGGATAATGGGGTCCAGACTTGGAGTGGGGGAGCGCGGGAGCTGTTGGTGTTGGTGTTGCTGCTGGTGCGTTTGGGCATGGAAGAGGACAGGGTTTTGAGGACCCAAAGATGAGCGTTCGCCCATTGTTGGGGTGCGTTCCAGTCGGTTTGTTCAGACGCGTTGTTCAAGCTCGTTTCGAGTAGACCGGGATATGCAAAGAAGTAGTCTCTTATCGCGCGGTGGGTATAGCTTATCCTCAGGCTCTCGGTACTGGCGTGTTGATCGGGTGGTGTGGTGTCGAAGATGGTTAGCAGTCCTTTACACCGCTGTTGGGTGAGGGTCTGCATGTCTTCGACTCTCTTACTTATCTCGACTGCTGTCAAGGGCCGTACATCTGCGGCTAGTGTTGCTGACGTCTCGGCTGTGAAGGCAAAGGAGAAAGGAAGGATGGCCGGGCATATGTCTTGATATGAGAGGAGAGCGTGCAGTTTTCCAACTGCTTCGACGTCCTCCGGAGCCATTTTGCTGAGCATGTGGGCGAGCAGATCGTCCAGGAGATAGGGAAGCCCCTCCGCGCGATCTTTCAGGACGAGGAAATCAGAGTCGGGCTCTAGACTTTCGAAGAGATATGTGGTGGCGAGTTTCAGCCACAGGAACACTCCTGAGCTCTTTTCAGCGAGCATCCCGACGATGTGTTCTTCCTCTTGGCCGTCCATCTTCCCTCGTAGCGAATGCAACTTTGGTTCCTCGCCGAACGTTCTGATCAGGTATGTTTGTATATCATCTCTTGTGTATTCCTCCAGTACCATCCTAGGCTTATTCTCAAACGCCGAATAGAAGACTGGTGAGCTCCGGGCCGAAAGCAGGAACTTGACGTTGTCTCTCCGCGAAGTGCTGAACACGAGGTCCATCAACTCCTTCGGATAGTCATCCGTCTCATCCAGCCCATCGATCATGAAGAGAAACTTCTTGTTCGCATCGCCGACCAAGCTCTCAAACGCTGCTTTCAGTTCCGGAAAAGTGAACTCGTGTAGGCCACCAGCGTAGGATTGGAATGCATTCCAGCGATCGGAGAACAGGTTCTGCATAATGACCCCGTCTTCTTCCAGGGGCCCAAATATCATGTCCTGTAAGCTTTCGTAGATGATGGCTCGCAGTAGACCAATGGAACTTTTCTGCAGCTCTGTCCCATTGTTCCAAAGAAAGAACCCAGACGTGATGCCGGGTTTCTGACCAGACCACGCCTCGAGATGTGGGAACAAGAGTGGATTGCGGAAGAGATATTTCATCAGAGTGGTTTTCCCTGAGCCCGGTTTACCTGGAGCCGTTGTAAGAAGACATTCAGGGATCGAAAGACGGGATAGTAAGAGATGAAGACGCACCGGTGAGCCAATATATTTCTT